CCTGGTATTTAACAAATATTTGTTGAATAAATAAGGGAAAAGAAAAGCAGAGTCATGTTACTAATATTCGCAACAAGGGGGGAAAGATCAAGAAGCAGCAAATGGCAGACTGTCTCTTTTAAAGAGTGCCACAGAAAGCAAAAGCTTTTGTAGATAGCCCTCAATTATCCAATTTGTGGATTTTCTAGACCCTTCCTTTCCTTTTCTCTTTCTTCCACTTCCTGCCTTTTTTCAGCTATTTGCTTACTCGACACTCCACTGGGGCTTACAAGAAAAATAAAAGGAGATGGGAACTCAAATTAGTCCCCACTGGACCTCGTGGTCAGCTTAGAGAATGAATAAAGCACAGGCTGCAACTGTCAGCTCAAGAAAGGATTTTACAATTTTTTTTGTCTATCCTTCATAATCAGAGACTAGTACTGAGAATTAACACTTCTTCTGACTTATAAGGTCTATCACATCATTTAATCCTGCAACACCCCTGGGGTATACAATTCCTATTATTCCCATTTAATAGGCCAAGAAACTGAGATTTAGACATACCAAGGAAGATTTCATGGCTAGTGAGTTGCCCTGGCCAGACTCAAACCCAATCTGCATACCTCAGAATCACTTACTTTCTGGCTTACAACATGCTAACTGCTTGGGAGTCAGAGATATGTACTGTTAAAGTTCTAGGTAATAAAGGGATGAAATAAAACAAGGGAGAAAAGATGTTTGGTTGGGTATGATGTTAGTAGTAATGTGCTCCCAATTTCCTTTTAATCCCAGAGTGCTTTCTGCAGGACACAAGCCTTGGAAAAGGAGAACAAGAGAACCTGGGAGCGGAATGGTCAGGAACTAAAAGTGGAGCATGAAGGGGGCACAGAGTAACCCAGAAAATGCCAACCCCTGCCCCAGGACCCTCCTTTCCTGGAAGTAAGTTATACCCACCCAGCTCTCCCAGGAGCCTGGCACTGGCCTCACCTGCTCCAGCTTCCAGAGGAACTTGACTGGGCGGGCACTCTCCAGCAGAGGCCAGTAGAGAAAGGCAATTCTACAGCCATGGACGGTCAGTGAGTAGTGAGAGAAGCCGTCCTCTGAGGGGGAGAGGATGGAGACAAGGGTCAAACACAGGGCCTGAGGCAAGAACAGGTTCAAAGCACCAGAGAGAGAGGACGTGGGATTCTCATTACTCTCTCAGGTGCTCTCCCCCCACCCCATATTCCCTAGAGTCTCCTCCCTTTCTTTCCCTCTGACACACACAGAGTCCAGTCCAAGTGATCACTAGGGTTTCTCGAGCATTCTGATTGGCCAAGGTGCAACACTGGCCAGCCTGCTCCCACCCAGATTTCTACTGGTCCTTTGGTTGATGAAAACTCCATGGATGACAACCCTTTTCAGGTCCAGAAAAGTGAGCTTGGAGAAGTGGCAGAAATGAAAGGTCTGGACAAGACTGAACCAAGAGGGACTGTGCCACTGCAGTCCAGGGAAGGGGGGGCTTGGAAATGGAGCCAACTAGCCCTTCAAAGAGGAGGATAGGAGGGTGGTGGGAGAGAAAGAATGGGGTACACCACTATCCAGGCTTTTCCATTCCAGTGGACAGGCTTAATGGGAGTAGACTGGGGGGCAGCCTACCACATGGTGGGATGCAGGGGCATTGGGTGATTGCAGGTGAGAAGGGCAGCGAGTGGTCCCATTGCACTCTGAGAGCAGTAGGGTCTCAACCTGTTATGCAGGCAGTAAGTCACACAGTTTCAGGAAGCATCAAACCTAACACTGCCATATTACAAATGAAGAGAGAGGAAGTGACCTGTCCACAGCCACAAACTGGGCAGTGACAGAGGCAGGATAAGAAGCCAGTTTCCTCACTCTCAGACGAGTGCCCTGGGGAAGGCTCACCATTCTGGACAGTGTTACACACGATGGTTTCCTCTTCCTTCTTGCCCTTGTTGGGTGTGACACCATGCTTCATCCAAAAGGACAGAGTAAAATGGTCACTGAGGCTGTCCTGGGGTCCAGAGCCCAGCCCAGCTGTGCCACCCAGGGGCACCTGCACAGCTTGGGTGCCATTGAACCAGTAGATGAGGCTGCTGTCCTGGCTGTAGTGCACCGAGAGTCCCGCTGTCCAGTTGGCATTGGGGCCGGGCATGGGCAACAGATCTACCTCCCCAGTGGCAGCACCTACAGAAGCCCCAGAAGGCACAAGTGTCAGAGCTGAGAGGCAGCAGATGGGGAAACAGGAAGCAGCCAGGCCAAGAGTGACTGAAGGAAAGAGATTTCCCACAGCTAGTCTCATGGCCTCTTGTGGCCTTTCAAAGACACCAGAGGGTGGACCTCTCTTCTAGGAATGGCTCTCCAATTAACTCATGCTCCAGCTCTTCCTCTCTCCCTACCATTGTTCCACAACGTACCTGGTGATGGTCTTGTGCTAGGATCATGGGTCTTTGCAAACGACATATTGATTTGCTTTGGGGGCCACAGAGTTAACCACATGCTATAACCTCTGTAGATATATACCCCTGTGGGTGGGCAAGGGAAGGTGTAAGGCAGAGTCTTAGGGAAGAGGCAGAGGAAGGTCAGGGAGTAGTCTGGAAAGGGGAGGGCACACCCACCACAGAGTTTCCGCAGGGCCCGCTCTGAGTAGTTGTCACGGTCACAGCCCTTGGCCACATGGCTGGTCTGTAGCTCTATGGTGGCCTGAATATTCCAGAGAGGTTCATCACAGGTCTCCAGGCGGATACCAGGGAACAAAGCCAAGCTCCCTGCACCTGGTGCATATTCAATCCTTTTGTTCCAGCCTGCATAGGGGAAAGGGAGAGGGTAGTGGAGAGAGAAGAGAGGAAGGCAGCCCCTCTTAACCATTCTGCTCTTGTCATGTCCCCTGACATTCTTGGGTAGACAGCCAGGGTAGACAGCTGCAAGCCTGCCCCCAAATATCTCTCCCCTGTACGATAGTCAGAAGGGACAAGAAGGGAGACCAAGGGGAAAGATGATTCACAAGATGAGTCACAGAGTGGAGCTCCTCACCTTGCCAGCTGGGTTTACAGGTAGGCTTCACCTGGATCTCCACCTCGGCATCATCTGCTGCCCGTTTCTTCCCACAGTCATAAGCCGTCACCGTGAACTTGTAGAGCCTCTCACCACTGTACTGCAGCTTCTCCGTGTTCTCAATGTTTCCTGGGATGGGTGTGGGGGGAGACAAAGAGGGTAAGGAGCACTAGAGAAAGCCTAGGGGGCAAGGTGAAGACTCATGAGTCTATTGGGCAACAGGTGAATTAGGCAGCAGGAAGCTGGGAAGGAGGTGTCTGGGGGAAAAGGCTCTACATTGGGAAGGAGGTTATGGAATGAGGATCTGAGGGGCACAAGTGGAGAGCTCAGCCCCGGGGTGTTCTGATGGATGTGGGTGTACAGGGCTGGGCAGCTGGGGCGGGCGGGGGAGGGACACACCGTCATTGTCGATGAGGAAGGGGGTGTTGGGTGTGAGGATCTCATAGTAGCAGATCTGGCTGTACTGGGGGGAGCAGTCACCATCGATGGCTTCCACCCTCAGGATGCGGTCGTACAGCTTCCCCTCAGTCACCGCAGCACGGTACAGCCGCTCCACAAACACGGGGGCAAACTCATTTACATCGTTGACCCGCACATGCACAGTCGCCCTGCATGCACCAGAGCAGGAGGGGGGACAAGGAAGAGTCAGCCAGCCTCGAAACACAAAGAGAGGCACAAGGAGGAACACAGACAGGGAGTCAGAGCAGACAGGAGCCCGTGTGTCCTAAGCCTAAGGCCATGGACATGCTCATCCCCGCCCCCAGGACAGCAGGCCCCACAAGGGAAGGGGTGACTGATAGAAGGGGTAAGGAACAACCCCAGGGGACACCAGCAGCTGACTTGGAGGCTCCTGTACAAAATGCTATAGGTTGGGTGCCAGGACACGGGGTAAAACAGAATTTTATATCCAGCCGGCTGTTCTTCCACAATAATCAAATCCAATGGGATAATCAAGGAAGACACAGAGTAAAAGCCAAATTAAAACCAACCAAGAGATGGGGTGCCTGGTTGGCTCAGTCAGTGGAGTACCCAACTCTTGGTCTCAAGGTTGTGAGTTCAAGCCCCCATTGGGTGTAGAAATTACCAAAAAATAAAAATCCTTATGGGGCGCCTGAATGGCGCAGTCAGTTGAGTGGCCGACTCTTGGTTTTGGCTCAGGTCCTGATCTCAGGGGCCTGAGATCGAGCCCCACATTGGGCTCCCCACTCAGCACAGAGTCTGCTTGAGTTTCTCTCTCCCTCTCCCTCTGCCCCTCCCAGCCGCGAGCTCATGCGCGCTCTCCCACTCTCTCTCTCAAATAAATAAGTCCTTAAAAAAAATAAAAATAAAAATAAAAATAAAATCTTTAAGACCCACCAGGAGAAGGGAAGTGGTATTTATATAAAAGCCGTAAGTCATCTGATATGAGCGCAAGAGGAGGGCTGCCTTTTGTGCATCCGTGTGCAATGTGCATGTCAGGTGTGCCCGCCCCCCATACTCAGGCCCCATGAGGCAAGCAGCCCTGGGGCTCTGCCCTTCGTACTGAGCCCTGCCCCTCACCAAGATCTAGGCACCCAGGTCCCAGAGGCAGGGTCCTATCTCCAAATGGAAAACCGAATCACAAGGAGCGGTGTATCACCACAGCCTCTTAGCAGCCCAGGAACCCTGACTGCCAATCTTTCTCCCATTCTCAGATGAGAAGTTAGCTGGACACAGTCATAAGATTCTCAGGCCCCGGCTTCATTCATGCTGGAGCCCTCTCCTGCCCACCCTCACCTAGCACTGGGCATGAGTATACCATGTGTGTGAGTATGTGCACACTGCAGACTGGTGGGGCAGGTGGAAGGAATCCGGATGTGTGCTGAGGTGCTCATCGTCCTTCTCATTACGCTCCTCATCATCATAACTCCCATGTACTGAGCCTTTCCCATGTATCAGGCACTGTGGTGCACGCTTTTTACATAAACCATCTCCTTTACCCTTTACAGCAACCTAGAGAAATAGGGATCATCATGTTCCCCATTTTACAGAGAAGAAAAGCAGATCAAGAAAGGCTAAGGAAGTCACCCAAGGTCATAAGATGCAGAACCAGGACTGGATCCCATAAGTTCTACTACATGTTTCTATCACCTTGAGTGAAGGCTCCTGGAGGACATGGCCCCTGTCCCTGACCCCAATGAATAGAGAGGGGAGGGGGTAGGTAACAATGACAGCAAGGACAGAGGACAGTGAGGGGCTTAGGAAGAGGGAGGAGGACCTAGCAGCAGGGAGCAGGAGACAAGGGCTTCCTCACTTGTGGGACTTCTTGGTGTTGGCCCCGTCGGGGCCCTCGCCGCAGTCGTAGGCCTGGATGGTGAAGGTGTGCTCCTTCTGGGCTTCACAGTCTACTGGCTCCTTGGCCCGGATCAGCCCTTCTCCAGTTGCTTTGTCCAGAATCACAGCCTCAAAGGGCACCCCAGACCCATGGAGCCGGAAGCCACAGATCTCACCTGGTCCAGGGGGGAGGGAGGGATGAGGCTCCTTCTCTTTTGCCACTTTCAGCATCTTCTTCCCAGCCTCAACCTCCCTGCCTCAGGTTCGGCTTCACCTCTCCTTCCAAACCCCAGCCCTTCTCTTGCATATGTGAAAATGTTAATTTGTTAATAATCAGACGTACAGCTCCAACACCAGCTTCCCGGAGCTGCAACCTCTCAGAGCTACTGGGTCTGAGATCTGACAAAATCTTGATGTGGTTAACCCCTGCCTGCCCACGTCCTTCTCTCTGGCTCCCTGTACTCAGCCACCATCCTTAAGCCTACTTCTACCACTTTGCCAAGACCTCTTCCCCACTTCCACTGCTCTCCCTCCGGGGACTTCCTCCCCTCTCCTCCCTTGCCCTCTGCCTTCCCAACCACTTTTCTCTGTCCTACTCACCTTGCCATCCCCCAACCCCAATCACCTGCATAGCGCAAGGGGGCATCCTTGTCCAAGGCAAAGAGTGGTGGGTTCAGCAGGACCGTGTTGTCATTCTCCATGACGATGCCTTGGTATTCTGCCTCGATCCATGGCTTGTGCTTGTTGGCTGACCCCACCCAGGGAGAGGAGAGGAAGCACCTGTGAGCTGACTCTCCACTCCCACACAACCCAGACACACACTCCAGCATTATCACCCTTTCCACCCGTTGCAGAAACACCTGCAGGAGGAAGGGCTGAGGACAAGAAATCAGCATTAAAAGAGTCAGAGGGTCTGCGAGAGGTCACACCCTTCTCCTACGGGCAGGATTGGTAGTTTCCGTGGCAACAGCCTACCCTGGGGGAGGAGGGGGACCACTAGCTCCCCTGGGAAATGTGGTCAGAGGTGAAGAATTTTCTTTAGGGATTTCAAGTGCTAGAGAGTGGAGACTGGAGATTCAGGGAGCAGTGGTGGGCCATCAGAAGGCCCTGGGAAAGGGAAGGCATAGATTAAGGGCAGAGTTGAGATTAGAAAAAGAAGATCTAGATGTTTCCTGAGATCCTGAGTGTTTACCCTCTCCACCGCCACCATCACCCCATTTCAGTCCTGATCCCTCCACTCTGCACTTCTCCCAGCCAAACCCCAACCTAAGTCCATTCATCCTAAGAGAAGGGAAAATATAGGACAGAAGGAGGGGGACAGAGAGGGGCAGGGATGGAGTAGAGGAATCAATGCCAAATGACTGGACCCAGCACAGCCGACATCCTAAGGGATTATTGAACTGGCCTAGAAACAGGACAAATCCCCTCCCTGCTTCTCATCCCTACACCCAAGAGAGCACACTCATAGCCAGCACATCTCTGTGTCCCCCATAAGACCACCAAACCCCACACTCCCTGAACCCCACTTTTTATACAGACTCATGACTTAGTCCTACTTCCTGCCTACCCCACCCCTCTTCCCTTCAACCACCAGCCAACCAGGAGGGATGCGGGACTCACTCAGCCTCTAGATTTCCCCATCTCCTGCCACACTCAGCTCACTCAATTGTGTCTCCTTCCCAGGACCGACCTCCGATTAGCCTGGGGAGGGGCTATGGGGAAGGCACAGTGTTTTCCCTTCCCCTCTAAACCACCCCCCACCCCAACTGCCACTGCTTGCTCTATCTAATCCCACCATGCCAACCACCAAGCTCCCAAAGCACATTCATGACGGCCTGTCAGTGGAACATGGGTGGAGGAAGACATATCATCAAAGGGAAACTGAGTCACCAAAAGGAAACATGCCCAGTATGTGACGGTGAATAAAAAATCCTGATTTCCTATCTTTCCTCCAACCACACCACTAAAAGCCTTCTGGTACCCGAATGCCTGCTCCTTTCTTGCAGATGACCACCAAAACCCCCTTCTCTAATGGCAGAGGAGAAAGCCACAAGATGGTGCTCAGAAAGCAAGCACAGGAAGTGGCAGGAGGCTAAGAAGCTGGGCTGAGGTCGGAGACTGAGGTGAGGAATCACAGCCTGAAGATGAAGGGGCTGCAGAGCAGCAAGGCCAATGTTGGGCACCTTCTCCACAGCTTGCCCCCAGGTCTCTCTGTTCCTCTCCTCTTGGCCACAGACTCTCCATGTGTTCACTTCCTTCACTCACTCCTGGCTCCCTGCCCTTCCTTCCTTGACTTTCCCTTCCCCCTCTCCTCACCTGTTCTTCTTGATTCCCCTTTCAATCTTCTTTCTTTCCCCCCGCCCCCCGCTCCCTGCCTCCACCTTTACCCTCTTTACCCTCCTTCTCATCCCCCTCCCACGCCTCATCTCCCTTGTCCTTCTCAGCTTTCCCTCTCACCACTCATTTAGCACCCCCCCCACACACACCCACTTCTCCCCTTACCTGCCTTTCTCCACCTACCTGAGCCCTCTTCCCCCAACCCCTCTCTCCCTGCCCCCTCCACCCTGGTCCCTGTGCTGGCCTCACCCAGCTGAATTTCTCTGCTGTCTGCCAGAGAGGGCAGCTCTGGTAACCCTCAGCCCAGCTGTATGCAGGATATGGATGCAGAGGAACACGCCAAAACATACGTGCTCCGAATTGCTGAGCTGCAAGGAACTGTTTCTCCCCAGGATGGGATGGAGATGAACCAGATGGATCTGCCACACACCCTGAGTGCGGGCACACCCCAGTGAACACAGAGAACCATCCAGAGATGTCTGTCACCCTTCAGGGGCAAGTCCTTCTGAGACCTGAGATTTCTCCCGCAGGCAAAACTGGAGGATGGGGAGACAGAGACCCCAGGATGGAAATGAGGACCATATGGGAGCCAGAGAAGCACTGGGTAGAAACAGCCCAAAGAGGATGATGTGGGGAAGGGGATGTGAGGGAGAGAAGGGGGCAGCTCTCAGAAAACGGATGGGAAGAACCCACACCTGTCATTGGCCAGAGAGCTTCAACAGCCCCTGCTCACCCCTACCCCCACATGGCTCTGCCGGATACCCCTCTTTCAGTGCCCCCCTCCCCCCACCTCACTCACCTTTGTTACAGGAGCTGGAGGGGAGCAGGGAGGCCAGCAAGAGGGGCAACAGCAGAAGGGTCATGGTGTGGTGTGGGCAGGGCTCGGCAGGGCCGGGCGATTGCTCTCCCCCAGGAGCCTCCAGACGGCTGATTCCACCTTGGGGGAGGGATGCAGGGTCTCTCCAAGGAGGGGAGGGAAGATAGTGGGCCGCGGGGCAGGGAGAGGAAAGAGCCTGCCGCCCACACTAGTCCATAGAGCAGACCTAGTCAGACCCCAACCTGGGTGGCTGAGGTGGGGGACTTGCAGTGGCTTCTCGTTCGCTCTCGAGCCGGGCGTCCTCACTCTCTCGCTCATTCCCACCCCATCCCCGCTACTGCAGGATGACGTCAGCACGACCAGGCGAGGACTGATGGGGCCGCTGGCCAATCGGGTGGCT